CCATGGCAAAGCCAGGGCTATGGCCTGCGGCGGCAATCCGAGGGCGTTGCCCGATTTTGGAGTGGTTTTTGCGCCGGAAAAAAGGTCGGCGGCACGGGCGCCATCCCGCATAGAGGTAAGCCTCTATAGACACGGGCTCCGCCCTGGACCACGACAGCAGGGCCGGATACGGGGTGACGCCCGTGCCGCCGACCCCCACCGTCATAAGCCCTGGAGCCGTGTTTTTGGCGTCAAAAAATTAACGTAATTTGTTTGACGCGTTTTTGAGGCTTCCCCCAAGCTGCAGAGGGTTCGGGCAGCTTTCTTCCAGCCAGCATCATCAGCACAATTGGGCCTTCCTTTCAAACTTCTCAACACCTCAACATACTTAGGGTTTGCAATAGATGCTAGATTTGCATATTTGCGGTATCAAGAGGGAGGTGGGGCACAGGCCCCATGATGCTCATGATGCTCAGAAGCTGCTGGTGCCTAAAATGTGCTGTAAACCCAGCACAAACGATCAAAAAACGTGCTGTCAGCAATATTTGTGGCTCTAGACTATGCATACTATACTAACTATACCAGCAGAGAGCACCAAAAGCCTGTTGTTGGTAGCAACTTGCGCTGCATGATAAGCATGCCAGCACACCTGCATGCAATACCGGGGCCAAACCTGTAAACTGCGCATTTTGCATGGTGCTTACAGGCTCTTTGTCAATGGAGGCTCCTATGCTAAAATTGTACGCCACCTCAACCTACGACATATGTACAAAACAAAGATGGAAAAAACAGTGGCTTCTGAACTGCGACAACTGGAGAATGTGGGTCACAACATGAAAACTTGCGCTTGCATGGAAACCATGTTCACAGCACCCTGGATTCTGCAAATGATGCTCGTGTGCGGGGCGCGCGCGCGTACACAAGCATCATCAGCACGACTGGGACCCCACTTTGGGTCAGTTCCCGGCGGCGGCGACCAGACTGGCACTTGCCGCCAGGCCCGAAGTATACTGCATTTGCAGGTTGAGGGTTTCAGAACTTAGTACAGTAGAGATTATGATGCAGTGCACCTGCATGCCCAATTTGTTGACAAACAACCGAACAAGCAACCAACCAAAGAAACCAAGAAACAACAACACAGTTGATCAACTAACTAACTAACTAAATAACTAACTAACTAACTAACTAACTAACCGACGAACTAACTTAAACAGGCATCTATTGAAGTTGTTGCTTAATTAACTAACCGACACGCGAACAAACACACGCACACATGCGCACGTACGGAGACTACACATCTCCAAGACCGGCCTGCAAGAGGTACTTCATTGGCAGGAGCTCTCACATGTCCTGAGGGAGCCAAACCAGACCAAGCTCCCCAAAGCCACCAACTCGCGCAAAGCCCTAAGCGTGAACCTGAACTGTTTGCCGGGGAGTTTGCGCAGAGAAGCTGTCAGGGAAGACTAAAAGTGGCCCAGGATACTCCATCCTTCTTCATCCCTCACAAAAAAATCTGCCCAACTTCCGTCTTATACCTGCCCGTCCCGCTGAAGGATGCAAACGCCTCAAGAAGAAGCATGACAACCAAAGCTGCCCTGGGCTTCGAGCCAGATGCCAGCGCAGACAAGCTTACAACCTCTTCAGCACAGCTGAGCTGACGCACAACCGCCCCAAGACTTGCAGGTCATGTGTTTTCCTCCCCCATACACGCACGATAAAATTGCAAACAAAGCAGCACCAATCCGTTGGCGTCAACTTTGGCAGGGAGCCGCTTGCATCACGGGATGTGGATCTGAAGCTTGGAAGAACTGTCCGCTAGCTTTTTGACAGCTCTGGTGACAGGCTGTCCCGCACATGTTCCACCCGCGCCACGGCTCCTGCTTTGTGAGCTTTGATTTTTTCCTGGCCGGCACTTGTTGGCCAGCTCTTGTGGCCGTGACTTCGGCAGCGTACCGGCTACGCTTCAAACAGATACTTTCTCGAGGCATACAGCTACGAAGCTGCTCAACCATGCAGCTCTGTAGTCCGCTTATAGTACTGGGCTTATCAGGAACTTTCAAGCGCAGCGATGCCTTGCGTCAGCAGCTCCGTCTGGTGAATGCTTGGGTGACGAAATGAAGGAAAGCTTCGACCGCCAGTCCTTCAGGAAACCAAAACTTCTGCGCGACACGTTCGAGGCGTGCAGTTCTGCTGCCCAGCCCCTCTAACCTTCTGTCCTGAAGCTGCACCTCCCAAAATGGCGACCATGCGACGTTTTGAAGTTGCTTTTGAAGAGTATGGGCTAGCAAGCCGCTCGAAAGCGCAGTTGCACACGCAAAACTAACAGATGAGCAAGGCAAAGCTGCAAGGCTGACAGCGGAATGCGGCTACTGCTCTTGCGGCGCTCGCTCTCAGTGTTGCTGATACTGCGCTGATACTGCTGCGCCAGCTTGGCATAGTGCCCCGTACTTGCAGCCGAAAACATGTCACTGATGGGAACCATTGTCCGCCATCTTCTCAGTGTACTAAAGAAATTCTGAGGACTCCAGCAGCGCGAGCAGCTACTCAGAGTTGCTGCCGCGTGGCTCACAGTCGCTCACATTCAGATGTCGCAGCCTCAGCGAAGCCGAACAACAACAGGCTGGAACGATGGAACGCAGAAACGTTGCACCAGGCTGAATGCACTCAAGAATTCAGAAGGTTGCTCTGCAGGGACAGATGCAAGGAAAGACGGGCGGGGAGGAAAAGAGGGCGCAGGGAGGAGGTACGCCACGATGACAGGTCCAACGCTGACCTAGACGCTGGCAAAATGTTGAGTGTTGCCCCAGCAGTGCACCGTGGCATTATCCAAGTGGACGCAGGTGTGTTGGTTCCCAGGAGCCACCGCCATAGCGATCCGGCCACCAAGGTCGATGGCATGGTGGGCCCAGGCCTTTTCGTTCAAGAGATCGGGATGCCCTTGGCCGTTCCTCAGAAGATTTGGGGATGGTAGCTTTCGAAACTAAGTACTGTCCTTTTTCTTTGCCCCAGTATACTCTTGTATACCTGAAGAGTGCGTCGGAATGCAGGCCTGTTTTTCAGAACGCGTTTCTAGAGGTCGAAACCACAAAAAAAAAACTATACCCACATGCTCAATCGTCTGCTGGCTTTCTACACATTAAGTTCATTTTTCTGTATATTAATTACCTACGCAAACCCAGTTTCCCATTCATTGTACAAGTTGTTTTCCCTTTGGTTCTAGGGTAATATTCCTAAGCCCTACATACCTTGTAGAATCCCTGCAAAATATTTTCTATAATTCCATAATCCATTTCAGAGGAGCTGCACCCTAAACCCGAAACCCCACTCAAAGGTGCGGGTGGCAGAGCTACCGCGGGGACTTGACCTGGGGATTTAGTGGCTTGTGGGTTTTAGGGAGAGGGAGACTAACACGCAAGGATTTCTTGGTTACGCATATTTGTGGGCAGTAAAATCACTCAATGTGACCAATGGTAACCCAGTGTGCTCCTCTGATTTGGAGATTTTTAGCACAACTGTGGATTGTCGCGAAATCTTATTCCATTCGCGGCCCACATTGTAGCGGCTGCTCGCCGAGGCATACTGTAGTTACAGGCAGGTGCGGGGGGGGGATTGATGTCAGCAACTGTCAGGACCCAATATCAGACAGTGACAAGGTGACTTCAAGCCCACACTCTGGATCCAAATCAGTAAACCAAAACTGAGCTGCCTGCTTCAACAGCAAAAGCTCTCGGGCTGCCGCACCGCCTCATGAGTACATATAGGATCTATAAAGTATACCATAGCGCTTCACGTGCATGGTTTAGGAGATGGATGGCAGCTTGGGAAGGAGCCTTGATGGAGAGGGCGAGTCTTTAGGCTTCAGGATTGTCAGCGTCATTGGGAAGCAGATGTATGCTGGCTGATGTTCTTGCTGATGGCTGTAGACTGTTTTCTTGATCCTGCTCCCTGCAGGAACCTCTTGCCCGGAATTGTTGGCACAGAACACTGAAGAAGAAGTAGCTTCTTTGATGCTTGCTACTGTATCTTTGTGTGGTTGATCATCACGATCACTGACTTCAAAACCGTCACGAACTTTCAGAAGCATGCGGCGAGAGGCCAGGACATAGATCTCGTTTCCATTCATACTCTTGTGCACACAAGCAAAACAAAACACAGACCAAAACAAGGGTTATGTAAAGCGCATGACATGGCCTTATGCCGTGAATGTATAGGCAGTCCCAAGCACAAAACACAAAAGGAATCATGACCGTTAGGGAGCGTACTTGCAGTTTGAGTACGCAAAGTGCGCGTCATGTTTGTATACTTTGACGTGCAGCATACACTCCATAAACCCTAACCTAAATGTGAAGCCCTACGTCCTGAAGCCTGAAGCCCAAACTCACGGACGTGTGCTGCGCCGCAAATTTCTCTGGCATCTCTGCATGGCAGGGAGCAGTGATTTTCCAACCTTCGGGAACCCAACAGAACCTATAAATAGTGGGGAATCCTCCAAGAAGACCTTCAAATCCTTGAGGCCTTTAACATGAAACAACAGGGACAGGCCTCGTGTAGCCTCCCGTTCCTTGCTCTGGGAGGCGTCGCTCCCCTTGCCAGCCGTGATGGTATCCTGGAAGCCCAGGTCACTCAACAAGCCTCAGCAGAAGATCATGCAATGTCCTAACGGTTTAGGGCTTGGGGTCCTAGCCCCAAAAACCAATTCCGATCTGATAAGACTGACAGCCAAGTACTTCCGACAAAGGCGTGAGAAGCCCTTTAATCTGCGAGTCCTCCTACATCAGTTCTCTCGTGCGACTCGGACAACAAAGGGAGTAGATGTGCCATTCGTGGAAACACAGGCGCACCCCACAACCTTCGATACGGTGTGCCATGGAACGTTGCAGCAGCGTATTGCATTCGAACGCGTGGCGTAGTGGTCATCACAAGTCATGAACACATGGTAGTCTCCCAAAATAGGAGACCCAAAATACGATTATCCTTCCTATGGGGAGCCCCAAAGAGCACCCCTAATTTTGGGAAACCCCATATGCATATGCACATTTAGAACTGGCGTCTAGGAGTGAGGCCTGGACGGTGCACTTCTTCAGCAAGAGTTCCCAGCTGTCCTAGCCAGGACGCGAAGCTCGTGGCCCTTGTCTTCACTTGTCCATTGGGCATTTCGATTTTTCTAGAGAAGCTACATGTACGCTGCTCTCAGAAGATCTGCCAATCACATGACCGCTGCAGCTGCTAGGTGATGGCTGCATGGCTGCAACAAACAGCTCACGAAGCCGGGTGGCCAGCATCTGAGCTGTGGCTTCGGGCCTGCAGATCACGAGGAGCTGCCATCACTATGCTGCTCCAGAACCACTCACCACTCTCATCTCAATCTGTAGCCGGGGCCCTCTTTCTTCCCGCGCGCGCGCTCGCGACAAAATTGCGATGGCAAAGCAGCATGCGCAGGGCTGCCGCTCTATTGGCGGCAACTTTGGCAAGGCCCTGCTTGCAGCAGGGGCTGTGGATCTGAAACTTGGAAGAACTGTCCGCTACCCGCTTTTCCTAGGCTCTCATTCCGGCTGCCTCGCACATTTTCCACCAGGACCACGGCCGCTGCTTGGTGAGCTTTGCATTTTTCATGGCCGGCACTTGTTGGCAGGCTCTGGTGGCCATGACTTCGGCAGCGTACCGGCCACGGTTAAAACAGTTTTAGATTCTCGAAGCATACAGATACGGAGCTGCTCAACCATGCAGAGCTGTATTCCGCTTATAGTACTGGGCTTATTAGGGGCTTTATAAGGTAGCGCTGCCTGGTGCCAACAACTCCGTCTGGTGAAAGCTTGGGTGATGAAATGAAGGAAAGCTTCGACCGGCAATACTTCAGGTGCTCGACACATTCGAGGCGTTCAGCTGCCCAGCCCCCTTAGCCTTCTGTCCTGAAGCTGTGCCCCCAAAATGGCGACTATGCGACGCTTTGAAGTTTTGAAGAGTAGGGGCTAGCAAGCCGCTCGAAAGCGCAGTTGCGCACAAAGCTGACAGATGAGCCATTCAAAACTGCGAGGCTGACAGTGGAATGCGGCTACTGCTCTTGCTGCGCTTGCTCCCTGTGTTGCCGATACTGCTGCGCCAGCCTCGCAAAGTGTCCCATCCTCGCAGCCGAAATCATGTCACTGATGGGAACCATCGTCCGGGGTATTCACAGTGTATCAAAACTGCTGCGAGCTCAAAGCGTGCGCAGCTACTCAGAGTTGCTACCGCATGGCCTGCAAACGCTCACATTCAGACGTCGAAGCCTTGGCGAAGTCGAACAACAAGAAACGCAACGAAAGAAATATCTTAATACAAAACAAAAAACAGGCTGGAACGATATAACGCGGAAATGCTGCACCACACTAAATGCACTCAAGAACTCGGAAGGTTGCTCTGCAGGGACAGATGCAGCAAAGAGGGGAAGGAAAGGGAGGGCAGCATAGGGAGGAGGTACACTAGGTTGACAGGTCCAGTGCTGACCTAGTGGCTGGCAAAATCTTGAGTGTTGCCCCAGCAGTGCACTGCGGAATTGTCCAAGCGGGCGCAAGTGTGACCGTCACCAGGAGCCACCGCCACAGCGGTCCGGCCCGGACCAAGGTCGATGGTTGGCAGGTTGTCTCCCAGCTCATTCAGGGCATCCCCGACGGCTTGATCTGGCAAAAGATCGGGCTGGGCTTGGCCCTGCCTTAGATGATGCGGGGATAGTGGCTTTGATCAAGACTATGCAAGCGTCTCCCTTCCTTGCCCCAGTATCCTCATGTATTTTTGTTACACACTGCGTTACAACAAGGACCCGCAGCGACTGCCACCCCCCATATGTGTGATCAACTTCTGGAAGTCTGAGCGGCGGGTTGTAGCCCCAGCATTTGACGCCTCCGGTCTCCAGGATGGCGCATGTATGGTACGCGCCCGCCCCGATGTAGATGGACTTCCTGAGATGAAGCAGCTGGTGCTGAATGGAACATTAGAGGTAGATGCAAATAGGCGCAAGATATGCCAGGCAGAATGGCACATGAAAAGGTTCTCGGCGAGCTGCAAAGGCGCGCCCTGGTCAGTACCCAAATTGACCACCGGCAAGTTGTCGCCCATGTCATTGGGCCCATTGCCTGTGCTCAGCGTCGTGCCAATGCCAAGTTGCCCAAATTGGCTTCGGCCCCAGCATTTCACCTCAGCTTTCCCTTCCAACCGCTCTAAGAAGGCTTTTATCCCTTGGAATCTGCGCAGATCTGCGCTATATAGTTTGTTACAGGGCAGATCCGGACAAAAGTCAGGCTAAGTCCAAGAAGGGCTGGCGGCACCAGAGCTCAGCAAAGTACATGTATGATCATTGCCAATTGCGACTTGCACTGGGTAAAGGCCAGTGCCCAGGTTGACCGGCATGTACACACCCCCAGCGCTGCTGTCCACATCTGTAATGCCCCGCCCAAGCACCCCTTCGAAGTTGAACCCGAAGCATGTGACTTGCCGGCCATCCGTGGGGTCCTCGATGATGGCACATGTCGAAATTGCTCCCGCATCAGCATCAAGAACTGGCCTGCTGCCAAAGTCCACACTGGGCAAGTAGTTGCCCATCTCGTTCGGCGAATCGCCAGCATTGCCGTTGTTGTCGCCGTAAACATTGGGAAGAAAGCCCAGTCTGTGGTTCGCACCGTAGCCCCAACATTTGAGGGACTGGTCGTCCAAGATGCCACACGTGTGCAGAGCACCAACCACAAGTTTGATGACTTTTCGGTTGCTTCCCACATCCACCGCGGGCAGATCATCACCCATACCATTTCCTGACACTCCTCTACTGAGTGTGTCGCCGAGGCCGAGGCGCCCATATGAATTCTCGCCCCAACACTTGAGGTCCTCGTTGTCCAAAAGAGCACAGACGTGATAGCCACTGGTGTGTGAGTCCACGGACGTTGCTGTGCGGTCTTGTCCAAGGTTGACCTTATTGCCATAGGGCGGAGAAGGGGGAGTCAGGCCACCCATTACTCCCAAGGAGTTGGCTTCCCTGCCAACGCACCAAAGCTTGCTGGGGACGTCAGCGCTCTCGACAATGGTGCAGCTGCCAAAGAGGAAGGACGCAATGTTCTGCACACGGAAGTCAAGGCTAGGAGGGCTCGTCGTGGTGGAAGTCCTCGAAGCGCAGCTGATGCCTCAGAAGCCGTCTGCTGAAAAAAAGGTTTGCGGATGTTTGTTGGGCAAAGCATGATTTTTTTGCTTACAGCACTGATCTGCTGAGGCCCCGGGCAGGTGTCCGGGGCAATCTGCGGGTCTTCGGTGTACCAGCTCTTACTGAGATACTCGTTCTGCACCCAGGACGTCTCACAGGGGAAGTCGGCAACCGGGGAGGCGTCGCAAACCTGCTTGGCCGCAGGCTGAGGGATGTGCACCTCGAGGCCGGAAGTGTCCACGACAAGGTCCTGGCACGCCTGCACCGCGGCCTGCGTGAGGTTGGACTGGAGCAGCTGGATGTAGCAGATCACCTTTGTGGCCGCAATGAAGGAGGCCTCCCGACGCGAGTCCGAGGCTGCGATGGTAGTCAACAATTGCTGCCACGTCTGGTTGACGTTTTCATAGCAGGCGTCCACGGCGTCGCAGCTGTCCGTCAGCTGCTGCCGGTACTCGCAAAAGTGACTCTCCAATGTGGATTGATTGACCCGGCACTCCTCACTCTGGTTGTTCACCGCGTACAGGCTGCTGAAGTAGGCGTCCTTCAGAGCGACCATGCTCGCCTGGAAGTTCTCAAAGTGTGTGCGGATGGTTTCTGCACAGTCGATCATGGCCTGAAGTGTCCCGGTCGTTTGCGGGTTGTAGCCGTCCAGGTAGTCCTGCATGCAGTCCCTAACCGGTTGGGGAAGAGCTTCGTTGCCCTTGTCAAGGTAGGCTTGCCATGCGCTTGCGTTCTCGGACGACAGGCTTTGCTCGGTGATGCGGCAGGCGTCGTGAGAGCTGCTGGTGCCGCTCACCAGATCGCTGAGGTTCTGGGTTTGAAGCTGGCGAGCCGACAGGTCGTTGTTGCACTGCACGAAGCCCTCCGCAAGGTCGAGAAGCAGCTGTTCATCCGCAAGGTGAGAGACATTGATCTGCGTAAGCAAGCTCCTCATTTCAGTGAACACAGAGTCCAGGAGGGTCAAGGTGGCGTTGCTTAGGCCGAAATCCTCGCGCGTCAGGTTGTAGTCGCTCAAGTTCCCAGCTTTCTCCATCTCCACCTTTTCGGCCAGCTTCTGCAGGGCGAGAGCTTCCATATCCTTGTGCACCTTGTGGACCTCATCCAGCCTTCCCTGCTCCAGGTCAGCTCCGCGCTGCGCCGCATGCTCCGCTAAGCTCGGCAAGGCCGAAAGCGAGTTCCCGGACTTCCCGGTGACTTGCAGCAGCGCGGCTTGCTCGCAGCCCTCCTCGGTCTCCTCACAGCCGAGCCCGAAGGGCATGGCCTCTATGGCTAGGGCCAAGGTGGCCGCGAGAGCGGCCACGGCCTCCGCGACAGCAAAGGAACACAACACGACTGTTTTTGTTCTGAGGGGATGTAGGTGCCATCAACAAGTTGGGAAAAAAGCTATCCCTCTTCACTGCCGAGGCACGGCCAAGCGCGAGGCGAGGCCACTGAGCATGGTGGGAAGACCCAGGCACGGCAGAGGTGGGCTAATGCGGCGTCAAAAACTACTTGGGCCAGACGCACAGCAGCAAACGATGCTTGTGAGGAGTCACAGGCGCGTATAGCGCAATCCAGGCAAACAAATGCAGCTGCGGCAACGGCATCAGGGACTCTCTCAGCCCCATCGTCCCTGATATAAGAAAATCACTCCGGAATCGGCGACACCTCCTTTCCCTGCTTGAACATAATCATGTTTTCTGATGGCGTCTGAGGCAGCTGCCGGCTCACATCGACCCATGCAAGCCACAGCGGTTTTGCCCTGATGGTAGGGAGTGGGGAAAGGATCTCTGCAGCATGCTCCAGGGCCCCTACAAACTCAGCAAAGCAATCCCGAAGATGTGTTTCCTTCTCGAGGTCAGGGAAAAATCGGAGACACCTCTTTTCCCTGTTGAAACATAACCATGCTTTCTGATGACAATCTCCGTCTGAGGCAGCTGCCGGCTCACATCGACCCATGCGCGCTTCAGCGGCTCTTCCCTGGTGGATGGGAGTGGGGAACGGATCTCTGCAGCATGCGCCACATCACCTACAGACTCATCAAAGCAATCCCGAAGATTTGTTTCCTTGTCGAGGTCAGGGAAAAATTCAAGCATGCTGTATCTAATAAGGAGCCTCCACGAACCCTTCCCAAATTCCCCAAACTCCAGCAAGCATACAACGTAGCCGTAGCCATGAACTTGAGAATTGATGGTCGGGTCTGAGCTTCGCACCATTTACCCCCAGCTTGAGCCACAGGCCTAGTGCTTCTGGCTGAGAGATGCGGATGGATTGTTCGGGGCACCACTGAAAGCTAGGTCTTCTACTCGTAGGGTGCAAGGCTTGGAGCTAAATGAGCAAAACAACTCCCATGTAAAAGAGGGGGGCCAACACGAGGCCATGTGCTCACAATCCGGGCCGTCCTTTGCGCAGCACCCACAGAAGAGGATTCCGAGAATTTGGAAGTGATATTGCCTGCGCGCGACATAGAAGATGAGCTGGCAAGAAGCCATGGTGGTTTAAGTCGACTCTCAGCAATCTCATTCTGAAAAAGCTCCGATCCCTGCCACTACCGCTTCTCTTGCAGTCTCGTTCTCAATCATTTCCGTTTGCTACTACTACAGTACGACTTCTCTTGCTACAGGCATGGTTACACAAAGTTGGGAGATATGACGCACAGTAAGTATGATGGGAGTTCCTCAGCAGCATGCATGCATCCCTCTTCATGTTCTAGCCTTCCCTACAGGAACTCGAACCAGAATGTTAAGATGCGGTTCTGTGGCAAGAGATCAAGGTCTACGGCGCAGATGTCGTGTTCAGGGTTTAGGGTTTAGGGTTTAGGGTGCATCCTGAGCCCCCCACATCACCTGCTTCACATCATCCTGCACTCATGAACCCCATGTCATTCCAAGATAATCCCTGTGAGAGCGGTATAATGTACCTTCCCCTCAGAAAGGCCTAACCTCATAAACCTCAAGCCCTCACCCCCTGAGCCCTACACAGGCCTCTCACGGACCAGGGCTTTTTGGTAGACAGCCGGGCCTAGTCTGAGGAAGATAAACATAATCCCCTCCCCCTGANNCCCCCCCCCCCCCCAACTAGTTAGTATGAATCTACCTGGTATAATACCAGTAAACGAGGAGAATGCCCATTGTTCGAGTTGGCGGGCTTCTTATAAGGCGGGGATGATTACACCGTCATGCTACTAGCGAAATTCCAAGTTTGCTGTGAAGAAGGCCTTGTAGTCCTTGACCAGTTACTCCAGGTCTTTCAGCAGGAGCTCGAGATCTTATGTCAGCTAGACTCTCACAACGTCGTAGCACTGCGATCAACTGCAATCATTACCACCAACCGCTTTCCTGTTGCATCTATGCCTGAGATCGTCCCATGTGCTACATAGCCCCGCTCTCGAAAGTTCTCCCTGGCAGCCTCCAAGTCCAAGCTAATGATTCTTATTCCTGATGTTTCGACAATAATTGAAGTGCTTACATCTGCCTCCGGTTTCTGTAAAGCGCGGCTCTCATGAACATTGATGAGCAGCCCTTCCAATAGTCTCATGTTGTGGATATGTCTTCTTGGACCTGTCCAGACCCATCTCAAAGTTGTGAAGCTGGATGACAAGCACCATGTCTTCGGGGTCCCGTGCTTGGTTGTGGCATGATCACTTCTGACATCACCATGATAGCAGCCGCAGTAGTAGGAGTGGAAGTAGAAGCAGCAGATACAGCAGAATGAATAGTCGACATCCTTTCCCATGCCATGAAGCTGTTATGCAACCAAGGCGTCACTTTTAAGAACATTTGCAATCCTTTCAGCGTCTGTATCCAAAAGCTCGCTGGCAGCAATGGACAAGTATTTTGTGTGACTGACCAGGCACAATAGCGGCCCTGACCACCCACACAGCATGATTCAACGATGGGGCGCCTGAGTACATCTGCACGAAGCGGCGGCAACTGTCGAAGGCAAAAGGCCGGTCTCCAGACTGCTTGTCAGGCGCCTGCGAGCTTTGCTCTTGTTGTGCAGCTTGGGCATGATCACTCAGGGTTTAGGGCAAGTCCCTCGTAATTACTGACTGTACTTCTGACCCGGTGGATACATGAAGCTAGCAACGCCAGTACGAGGTCCTTGCATAGGAGGATACCTAAGGTTGCGGAAAACACAAATGCTCAGCAGCGTAACAACCTAAAGCCTAAACCTAAGCCGGCCTAATGAACAACTTCAATTAGCTCAAAAAAGGCCTAAGGTTCCCAATATTACATGCCAAAAGCAAGCAGCAGCTGGGAAATGCAAGTGGGGTGTGGGGTACCTTGATGCTAGCGGGCGGCTTCTGCCATGGGTGGCATTGGCTGCCGCGCCCGTTCAAGCCTCACCTCCACTAATTATTTGTGACGTGGTCACGGCTTTCGGATGCTTTCGGATGTTGGGTTTGGGTGCACACTAAAAGAACACTCCTAGTAGTCTTTAGAACCACCCCCAAACCACAACAACCCACATATCGTTCTGATCCACCCGACTCTTCTACATCACTCTGGCATCATCAGCCCTGCCGCGCCCCGCTACAAGCCTAAAAGCCCGTCTCTTGCCCGTCTTTCTGTTCCCTGAAGCCCGATTTTTCGATCCCCAAAACAAGCTATCCTTGGGCATCCTAGAG